GGGGGGGGGGGGGGGGGCGGGGGGGGAGCAGCGACCACCAGGCGGAGAGGAAAGCTTGCCGCAGCGGATCCCCTAGAAAGTGTTTTGCGAAGCTCGGGACGGGCCCGCCTCATCCATTGCGGTGCATCTCGCCCTTCTGCCTCCGCTCCGCTACATCGCCGGTACGGGGAGAAGCGCAGGGCGCTCAGCGGTTCCGGCCGGATGGAAGAGCCAGTACGGAGTTTCATCCCACCTCCATCTCCATTTAAAGCGACGCCTCAACCCGGGAGAGCCGCGTCCCCTCCGCAGGGAAGGAAGGAAGGAGCGACCGAGCGCGCGCGCTCTGCACCCGCCAAAAGCTCCGCGCTTCCCTCCGTTGTTTTACCGACTGCCAAAAAACCCCACCCTCGCCCTCACTTTAAGGGGGAGCAGGTCTTTAGGTACCACCAAGCCAATCGCTGACGGGAAGGGTTTCTATAGAAGCCAATCGCCGACTCGTGCTCGTAGTTGGTGGCCAATAGAAGAACAAGGCGAAGAAGGGGTGTGGTACGCCTCTTCCCCAGGACGGTCCTGTTTCCAACTAAGACGGAGAGGCCGGGCCGGCGTGTGGGGGAGCTTTAAGTGGTAGTTTTAAATTGACGAGGCGGGGCGCGAGAAAGAGTGGGATAGTATAAATTTATAATCGTACAATTTACAACGGTGTGCGCGTGTGTGGATTTTTTGAGCAGTCTGTCCTGAAGGAACACTATTCGTAAGAAAGCCTGAGAACTGCGAGGATCAGCTACGTACCAAAGTGAGGTAAGAATGGAGGTTGACAATCAAGTTTAAAAATGGGAAGGTCCGTGGAAAGTGAACAAGAATTCACAAAGTTTCTTTGAAAACCAGGACCCAGTTAGCTAGCCTTTGCTGATTTCAGAAAGCTAAGCACTTTTGGACACCTCCTTGATGCTTGGGTGGAAATCCCCAGTCGTGTGGGCTACGCTGGAAAGTCAAAAACACATGTCAGAAGAAAGCGGAGCAAACTATTTCTATATTTTAGCCAAGAAAATTGTCCATGATGTCAAGAAAAAGTTGAGATAAAGTTGTCCATGATGTCAAGCTCAACTGAAAACAGACTTAATTTTTTTTTAAATGAAAAGTGAAGGTCCGTGTGAGATATAGTGGTGAGAAGATGGAGTATGAGGGACTGAAAATCACCAAAAGTGGATAGTTATGTTGGGAATCATCTGCAAGGTGGTAATGATCAAGGCCAATATGGTGTGTCAAGGTAAGAGAGCTTCCATTCAAGATGGAGAAAATCAGGAAGTCTGAACTGTCATCTCAGTTCACCTTCAGAGCCCTAGTCTCTTTCCTACAGGGCACAGGTGTGTGAGTGGATCCAATATGAGGTTGCTGTGCTTGCAGACACCTCCTTTTGTACCCCACCTAGCTTTTTACATTTGTATTTAATTTTAAAAACTTCCAGTAGTTATCTTTATTTTGAAAAATTCCTCTGAGACCCAATGGACCCAATAAGCTCTTTTAAAGAATAGAATACTTGTTTAGAGCTGTTATGTCCTCTCCCCAAAAATGGCACAGGTAAGCAGAGGTTGGAGGCAGCACCTCGAGAGAGGGGGAACCAGTTGGGGGGAACAGCATTCTGGTCAATCTGTGCTTTGTAACTGCTTCCCCCTGACAGTCATTCTCTGAATTGGCAAGCCTCCCCAGCAATCATTTTGTGAAAATGCTTACAACTAGGCAAGATGTGTTTTGCAACATCATATTACAGAAATTCTATTAAACCATCCTGAATGGTCTATGGTTTGTCAGAAACCATAGAAGTTTCTAACCATAGAAGTTAGAAGAGTAAAATTAGAAACAAACCATCGAATGTTTTGATTGCTCTGGGTTTCACCCAGAAGAAAATCCAGAGAGCGCATTGCTCCATCTTTCTCCTCTACCTCAAATGGCCTGTGTTGGCTTGTTGGCTGCCCAATTTTCCCTGTGTCTTCCCTGAAATATTCATTTGTAGCTGTATATGCTTCATTTAAAATTAGGCAGCAATTTGCAAACTGTACAACTTTAGCAGAAAGTTAAAGAATTATTAATTTCATCTGTATCACATTCTTTCTTGCATTATACAGATGACTAAATATGAACATAATATATGTGCCTCAAAATTGATTTCTATTCAATTGCATTAAGCAAAGCTATTGGAAAATGAGCAAAAAAATTCCACATGCATTGCCCACTCCCTTTAGGCATTAAAAAGCTTACGTTAGTCTAAAGATTAAATAGCAAAGCTTATGGGTATATATAGTAAATCTGGTCTTTCATTATATTGTTTCTGTGGATGCATTTTTTTCCTGATGTGACTTTTAAAACTGTTGATAGTCTTAAATATGAATGTGAGGTATCTCAAGGGTGCTTTTTAACTGGTTGCTGGAGTTGTGTACCTCAATTTTTTGGACCCAATACCTATGCAGTTTCTGAAATTCCATCTTCGTCAAGGGATTTGGCACTTTCCTTAAATCCTAAGTCTGCAACTTACCTTTATAAAAAATTACATCACACAGAAAAAATGATATTCATGATTTATGTGATCTTTAAACAGTGAACATCTTTTAAATCAGTGGCAAGTTGCATGCTTCAAAAAAGAGTAAAATTAGTTCTGTTGATTAAAATGAGGTTAATATAAAAGAAAATTGTATTTTGCATTTATTGGATATAGAATGTTTAATAAGGGCTTTTATAAAGTCCTTACAGATGCAAGTGTAATTCCAGTATTGTCTCAGTAAGTTCTATTAATTATTACATTTGGTCTGAAATTCACAGGCAATTATGAATATATGATTATTGTTGTCCATTAAGCATGCATGTAGTTCCATAAGTTATATCTCTGCCAAGTGGAATTCATCTACATACAAAGAGTTATAGAAACATCAGGCATGGAATATAATTAATTTATTGTACAATATTAGAAGGACAAAATATCCCAATTTCTTGCTGTGAATTGTTAATATATATTTTCAATGGAGAGACAAGGAACATTCAAACATTAAAAATAGACAAATATATATATATTTTAAAATGCATATTAAAAATGTATGTATCCATAATACCCATCATGCTATTATCTTTTAGAGTAAGCAGTGTTATGCAAAGTACAGAAAAAGAGAAAGCAGAAGAGATTAAAGGCAGGAGAAAAGTTCACTAAATCTAGTTGGACTAACACTACTAGCTCGCAATACTTTTTTATCATTTCAAATAATTCTTGCTTCTACCAAGTTCCTTTGCTTTTTATTCTTTAAATTTCTCACTTTTTTTCAGGATCTCATCAATGCTATCGAACCACAACTTTCTTGGTTTTCCCCTTCTTCTCAACTCATCCACATCTAATTTTTTTATTTGATCATTATTTTTCCATATATGACTATACCATATTGGCCCAAAATGGGTCTTCGTGGCCCAAAGTAATAGGCAAAAAATAGGCGCTCCTTGGATTTTCATTAGCCCAGATTTACACGTTCAGGGATGAGTGTGCATAGTAAGGTAGAGGCGGCAGATTAAAATTATTAATATCCAGTTAAAGCGTCTCTTCCCAAGGAAATATTCCTGACTCGTTCATTCACCCTCCTTAGGCCTGCTGGATACTCAAGTTAAATTAGAATGGGAGGGGATTCTCCTTGGCTCAGTCTGATGCCTTTCCTACTGCAGCCATAGAAGATACAGAGGTGTCCCATTTGGATTAAGGCTTTGCCAATGCAGTGAAGGGGGTATCAAACTATTTTATAATATTGTTAAACATGTTTTACAATATTGCCCATTTTATGCTGGAATACAATCAAAGTTGATAACCCCACATTTAAGCAAATTTCCTGGTCACTTAGGATTTTTATTTTCAGATATTTATGACTCTGTTACTCTAAATGTAGTTAAATTCTGCTATGTTGTATGCAAATGTGCAGCCGATAAGCCTAGTTAATTTTGTTCTTTTCTACTATATATTATATATGTAACCTGTTTTATACTATTGAGTTTTTTTTACCACAATGAAGATATCTTCTTCTATATCACTTTATCACACTTCTTTCATATTGGCCATTCACTTTTGCATGCAATCCATATTCATTCAGTACCTGACCCATATCTTGTTTTATGTACTCCTTAAATAACCTATTCTCACTGCATTCAAATGATTTTTATGTTTCTCCTGACATTCTGAAGTTTCAGTTCTATATAATGAAGTGGGAAGTATCATGCTAACAGTGGTAGCTACATTTATTATGTGCTTATTTTTAAGCACAGTACAGATTTAGATAAAACAACAATTAACAGAATAATACATTACAATTACATATTACTGTACTTCATGATTATAAAATAGGGGCTGCTAAACTAGAAGGTCCATGATGAGTAATGATATTAACGTCTATTTATTCAAAGTGAAGACAAGAATTATATTCATTCTTGATTGTAAAGAATAAATCAAGTCCCAACTGTCCACAGGCTAGTCCAGATTTTTCTTTCCTACCCCCACAAGCACCCTGCTTGTTTTCTTGCTTCTCTCTCTCTCATTTTCACATGGCTAAGAGTCCTGGGGTGGTGTCAAGCTACCAGGAATCCACCATTAGAGGTCCTATATGTGGTCCGGA